GCAGGGAGAAAGTCGCAACTCGAGGGAGTGTGCACCCCGGGGTTTCGCGTGCGCCTGGGAGGTCCTTGCAAGCGTCAGCGTCCGGGGCTTCCTGCTCCCCACCCAGGCGCCTTTCCTCGAAAGCGTCTGGCAACCTGTCCGTCCTGCGGGCCGGGTGGGCTGGGAAGGTGCTGCGGGCGGTGTTCCTTAGCAGTTCCGGGGGCCGAGGGCTCGTGCTGGGCCCTGGCGCCGCTTGCAGACTACGGGGGTCCGAGTCTTTCTTAACAAGATCTGGCGCGATCGAACAAGTCGAGACCCTCCCCCGGGCCAGTGGCGCCGCGGTGTCCCCTTTCTTCCCGCCTAGACAATTACCGTGCGTTAGGCTGTGTCTTGGTGGGCCTCTTGCCTTTTTGACCCGGGCAAGTCCCTCCCCTTCCTCTCGCTTTATTGCTTTTTATTGTTTTCCTGCAGCCTCCTTCTCCCATCCTTGGCCTTTCTCGAGCTTAAAGCTTAATTTGGAGCTGACAGCTTTCCCGTCCCTTTCCCGGTCCCTTCCCCAGCAGGGGATTGTCCCCGGGACTGACTGCCTCAGTTAGAGACTTGCCAGCTGGCCAGCCCAGTTAGGAGAGGTGCCGCAGGGGCAGTGAGATATGCAGGAGATTCTGTGGCCTTTGGTTTTAGGCCTTCAAGGGCGGCCTCCGGGCCCAACCATTTCACCTGCTGGGGAGATAACTTTGGCTTCCGGTTGTGGGTGGGTGATTTACTCTCAAACCCCACATCCCCACATCATTGATTTCTGGGTCATTTCCTGTGACTGATCCTGCCGTCTAACCTCATAAGTGTGGGAGCCCTGGCCTGGGTGCAGAGGTGATTAGGGCCCCAGAGCCGGGTTGACAGAACACCTTGTGCAGGAACCCTAGTGTGGCTCAGAATTCAGATGCAGTGAATGGAAGACTCTTTCAAAGCCTTGCGACTTTGAATTTCACACACTGCAGGCCAGGAAGATTCCAGAGGCTGGTCAGTAGCTCCCTATCTGTTAACACCTCTTGCTAACTGTCCCTTCTTGATCCCATTGGGAGATAACAGGGGTGGATGACAGCTGCAGGGTGTGACAGGGTGGCCTTCTCTGAGCTCTGCAGAAGTCTCTCTTTTGAAAAATGAAGGGACATATAGCCAGGTGAAAATGAATACACAAAGTGTGTATAAGGAAATGTATGTCTTCCTCACACCCTAACACCTAGCTCCTCTCCCCAGTAACAAATCCGTCTATTTCCCTATCCTGCCTCTTTGACCCTGCTAGATCTTGGGAGACACCATGTTCTTGATAGCCTGGTGATGGCCGTGAGGTTGTTCCAGCCTGGCTGTGTGAATGAAAGGGTGGATGTCCTTGTAAGGAGCTCTGGCGTGTGCAGTCTTGTCTTTCATTCAAACCATGAAAACTCCAAGATCAAAAGTGGTGTGCGTTTGAGGATTTCGGTAGAAATTGCTACCCAGATAACACTGCTGAAGTTCAAACTGCTGCAGAGAATTCCTTTATCTTAGGTAGCACATGTCCAGGTGGGCATTTGGGGTTTGACCTGCTGGCATCCAGATGATGGTGCTAGGCCTGTCACACTTCCTACAGTCCCCTCTCCCACTGAAAAGGGGCGATGAGGACCAGGCGGGTAGCCGGTACTTCCTTGTATATTCTGCCTCTGTCCCCCTGGCAGTCAGTGATGACTGAAAATCACTCACTCTGAAGCAGCCGTAGGAATTGCTTGTGCTCTTGCAATTGGAGTGAGGCATAAATGAGACACCAGAGAGGAATGTTCTTTCTCCACACCTCCGGTGGGAGTAGGTGGAGGGCAGAGACCTAATCTCCTGACCCCAGTGTGAAGAGGCAAGCCCTGTTTATCTGTCCTTCAGCTACACTGAGACACTTTGCCTGTTTTATTTTGTTAACTGGCAAGCAGTCTCAGGCCCTAACCAACACCTTCCCCCCACTCCCCTTCCCTCCCTCCCTCTCTCCCTCCCCCCCTCCCTCCCTGC